AGAATAAATAACTGAATAAAGCCCAATAAAGTTGACCTTTAAAAATTTCACACCTCGGAGCCGGCCCGTGGCTCACTCGGGAGAGTGTGGTGCTGATAACACCAAGGCCACGGGTTCGGATCCTATATAGGGATGGCCGGTTAGCTCACTGACTGAGCGTGGTTCTGACAACACCAAGTCAAGGGTTAAGATCCCCTTACCAGTCATCTTTAAAAAAAAAAAAAAAAACCTTTCAAAGACTTCCTTTCATGCTTGGAATAAAATCCAAAATTCTAACCATGGCCTACAAGGTCCTATGTGATCTGGCTTCTTCCTTCTTCTGTGATCTTTTTGCCACTCTTCCAACCATCCCAAGCTTGCTGTTGGTTGAACAAGCCAAGTTTTTTCCAGCCTCAACTAGGATTTGGGCCTGTGCTGTTCCCTCTTCTTGGAACCATTGTTCATTTCTGTTTGCAGATTTATCATGTTTATAGTTCAGTTCTTGATTTTAGTTATACTTCAGAGAGATACCCTTCCTGACCACCCAATCTGAAGTAGCCCTTTCCACCAATCATATTACATCCATTATATTAGCTTATTTTATTTATTTTGGATGACTTAATGCTATCTGAAATTATCTTGTTTGGATATTTGTTTCAGGGGTTTCAGCTTAAATGCTGTGGATGTTAAGTGGGTAACAAATGTATGAATGGGGGGGTGGCTGATGGGACTGATGTGAGCTAGAGAGCTGTGTCCTGGGTGTGGGGTGACGTATGGCTGCCACTTAGTATTATTCAGAAATCCAGCAGAAGTTGCCTGTTTCAGAGAAGCTAGAAGTTGGCAACTTATATTTTTTAAAAATTAAGCACTGTATGGACCAAACACAAAACACTCCTGTGGGCCATGTGCAATCCACCACGTCTCTGATTGGCAGTTTCTGGATTGTTGATTAATCCACTGGAATGTGAGCTGCACTAGGGCAAAATTCTTATTTGTTCTGTGTTTTGTAGCACAGCACCTGGGACAGTAAGCACTCAATAAATGTTGAACTCAAACCAGGAGCCATTGACAAAAATTTTGGTGTCATCTTTATATCTTTCCACACCCAATCTCCACTATGGTTTTATGTTCCTAATAACAGACTTCTGACTGATAATGCTGTGCACATGGGGCCTGGTAAATATATACTTTCCAGTTGTCAGAAGAATGAGACTAAAACACTTTCTCATTGCGTATCTGTTTTGAGAAGCAGTTCTTGTGTTACCCCCATTGTATATGCAGGAGAGGAAGTGACCATAGAATGTTGAGTTACTGAAGTCAGAAGTCTTTAGTTCCGCCCGTGGTGCACTCGGGAGAGTGCGGCGCTGGGAGCACAGTAGCGCTCCTGCCGCGGGTTCAGATCCTATATAGGGATGGCCGCCAGTGCGCTCACTGGCTGAGCGCGGTGCGGCTGGTCTCAAAAAGGACAAAAAAAAAAAAAGAAGTCTTTAGTTCCAGTTTCAGCCGGGTCACTTATTGACAAGACCTGGAACAGGTAGATCACTTGACTTGTCTGAGTTTGTTTCCTTGTCTGTAAAATGGGAATAAATGCCGTCCTGCTTACCTTGCAGTGTTGTGAGTTTCTAATGAGATGAGTGCAAACATTTCAAAAAGGTCATTACACAGACTTACTGAAGACAGAAAGCTCCTCTAACTGAAGATGAAGCTGCTTCTCTTATAACCATGGAGAAAATGTCCGGATATAAACAGAGAAGGGGCCACCAATTTTTTTTTCTAATTGAAAATCCTCGTGTGAGGGAAGCATTAATATTTTAATATTATTTCAACTTCTGTGGGCTGGGAATTTTTCAAAATAAAAAGTTGGGGAAATATTTAAACTGATAATATGGCCTTTTTTTTTGGCAGCTGCCCAGTCTGGGGATCCAAACCCACACACATCTAGAAACTTAATAATTTTGTACTCTTCTACAAAAATTCCAGAAATAGGGGTTTTCCGGTGAGCGTTGCTTGGTTTCAGCTCATACCTCTTGAGGCCAAGGCCCACTGAAGGAGCAGAGATTGGTCCTGCAGAAAGCTGCAACAGCTTAAAGCATGATTCATCCACATAAACCTGTGAATGTCTTCTGACATAACTCCATTTCTTTTCTTCAGGCATCAAACTCTGATTATAGAGTTCAGGGCAGTTTAGTATAGGAAAATGAGTATAGTCTTCACTTGGCTTTCTATTCAGGATGCATGCCCGATTTGAGTCCATCCCCATTGTCTTGATCACATTAATGGTGGCTAACCCTGTGTGCTAAACAGTTAATCCCCACCACCTTGGTTTGGTTTTGTCTCAGCCATTTTCCCGGTAGCCACATCTTGTTTTTTTTTTTTTTTTTAAGACTAGTCAATGTAGTAGTGAGAATAGAAAAGAGTAGAACAAGGAGCACATCTCAGTTTTTATTTGGTGAACTACCTCTTCTCAGACTCAGTCCATACGATTTACATGGGATATAACCAATAAGGTCTTTGCTGGAACTTCAGAAAGGTGAAAATGTCTGCAATTTTTCTCCTGAGATTGCTTAGCAAGTAGGATGTAAGCCTGTTGGTATGTGTAGTCCTGTCAGAGAATAAAAGCCAACATAGGAAAACAAAGCCAAAAGGTGTAGAGACCAGGTGCTAATGATACCGTTGGCTGCTGGATCCAGACAGTACGTCATGTTTGCACCACTGGACTTAAGAGCCAATAAATTGCTGCTTATGATTACATCAGTTTGAGTTGGGATATTCTTACTTGCAACTGAAAGAACCTTAACATCAGTATTATTAGAGAGTCCCAAATAAATTGCCCAAGGCACATACTAATAAATGGCACCCAAAATTTTTTAATTTAGGGCTGTCTGTTACTAAAGTACCTATCTTTAATTATGAGGCTCATTCCCAACATTTGTAAGGCCAGGGCAAGGATACAAATGGAGACTCACATACCATGTCTTACTATTTAAAAGTTATAAATCAGGGCCGGCCCGGTGGCGCACTGCTACAGTGCGCCACTTGGGAGCGCAGCGGCGCTCCCGCCGAGGGTTCGGATCCCACATACAGACCAGCCGCTCACTGGCTGAGCGAGGTGCGGGAGCAACACCGAGGGTTGCGATTCCGTTGCCGGTCCCGGTCCGGTACGGGCGCAACACTGAGGGTTGCGATCCGTTGCCGGACACGAAAAAAGACAAAAAGGAAAAAAAAAAAGGTATAAAACAAGGTTAACTC